TATAGTAGTATTTTTATTCTCCCTCTTCTAGAAGTCTAGGTAATTTTAGTAGAAATGTCCTACTTTTTTATAGTTTAGGCAGGCCTTGTCCTCTAGCTATTTTTATTATTTTTTTGTTAAAGGCAGCTTATTATGTCTTAAAACTTAGCTCTTTTTAAAGAGGGGGCTTTATGTATGCTTTGCATAACTAAGGTCTATTAGCTTTTTATTATATTATAAAAGCTTTTTTTTTTTAAAGATAAACTTTAGTTTTTAGAAAGTTTTCTTTAATTTCTTTTCTCTTTTGCGTTCTTTATAGTAATTATTATAAGTTATTGCTTTTTTAATATATTCTTTAAGAGTAGTTAGTTAGTCTATGTGCATAAACTTATTTTTTACTTTATTATTTAGTCTGTTATAAAACATGCAGCATAGGGCTTTCTAGTTGTTCTATCTGCAGATGGCTATTTACTCCCTAAAACGCGCTGCATAGTTTTAGACTAGCCTACTGCCCTATCTTATATTGTCTAGTTAGTTAGCTGTAATTTTTTTTTTATCTAGAGTTTTATAAATAGCTAATAAAGCTGCTTTAAAGTTTTTAACACTACTAAATACTTCCTTAGTTTTAGGGTTAAGTAGTGCGCTATTAGCTCTAAAGTCTATCTAATTATTAGTGTAGAGTTAGAACTAGATTGCAGGGGGGCCTTTTAAGTGTAATTTTATCTAGGAGATTATTTCTGTGTTAGTTTAAAATGCTTTTTTATTATATTACATGTAGAGGTAGCATCTAGTAAAGAATAGTTAAAGGTCTTTTAATAATTCTTTAAAAGGCTTTAAAAGGGCTAGTCTTAAGGCCTTTTTAGTAGCAACACTTACTCTATTTATTAAAATATTTTAAACTTTAGCTAGCTCTACTTATAGTTTGTGTATCTAGTAGGCTTAAGTAGTAGCCTTGTAGGGGTTAATAGAAGGTAGAAGGTTTTGTAAATTTATAGTTTTTTAGTAAAGGTTGTTTATTTTTTATTTAAGTTTTAGTAACTTACTAACTTTATTACTAATCTACTAAAGTTTCTTAATGTTGTCCTAGATTAAGTTAATCTATTCTATAAAGATAGCTTTACTTTAGGTAGAAACTTCTGTAGATCTAGATAGCACAGTGTAGGCTATGTTAGAATCTAAATTATGTTAAAAGGTTGCTATACTTTTTAAAGGGGTTAGTGTTTAATGTTATAATCTTTACTTTATAAAGCACTTAGGTCTAGTAATATTCCTAGAGAATAAGTAGGACAGGTAGAAGAGGCTAATCTAGTAGGGTGTACAGTCCTACGTACAGGCTATTAGGCTAATAGAGGGTGATATAGAGTGACTAGATTGTAGTTTACCCTATGTGCAGCAGTAGAGAGGCTAGGGTTAAACAGTCCTTATAGGACAGAGTTAGAGGTATATATAGTGCAAGATATATAAATAGTATTATAGCTCTTTAGAAAGCTAAATGCTACTTAGTCTATATAATAAATAAACTAAACATTAAACACGCTTTCTAAAAGTTGTTTAATATAGAAACTATATACATGTGCTAGAGCGCTAAGGCAAGCTAGACAAGTTTACATAAGACTGCTAAGCAGAGCTTGCTAAGCTCTCTTAGACTTGTGGGATTTGCGTCCTATCCTCCTATTGGACAGTGCATTCTTCCGTAATGGCAGGCAGCTGCGCTGCCTCCGTGTCCTCCGGTTGGCTTGTAAACGAGTCCTGCTCCAACCGCATCGTACTGTGGAGCATCTTGGGTGGAGTTACACTGGTCCAACCATAGACCGTAACACTAACTAGGTTAGTAATTTATATAGTACTAATTAATTTTATTAATTTTTATTTTTTAAAGCTAATACTTTTCTTTTTTAGTGTTTAGTCTACTTTTATATAAAGGAATTCTTGCAGGTATGCTTTAAGTTGTAACTTTTTTATAGTAGAGATTCTTACTGCGCTAGTATCCTATAGTTTACCTTAGTATACTATACAGTATTAATCTTTAAGGATAAACTGTTCTGCGTATCCTTTAGGTTCTAGGCTGTAGATGTCCTCTGCAGTCGCGTAGTAGAGAAATGCAGTATTAGTAAAGTAGTTAATAATCTTTTTACTTTTTTTTTAATTTAAGTTATTGTTATTATGCAACTTTTTTTTTCTACTTTAGTTTACTTTTAAACTTTTAAATATATATATTTACCTTCTTACATGTTAGTGTCTTGTTATAGAATTCTTTATATAAAGAGATATATTAGCGTTTTACATAAAATTAATTTATATAAGGATAATTTATTAACTAACATTTTTCTTTATAATAAATAAAGCATTACTTTAATTATGTAAAGGACTATAGTCTAAATAATCCTTTATATCCTCTTAGGCTTCTTCTATGTTGTTAATAGCTATGTGTATGTAGTAAGCTATATTGCCTATTAGTGTAGTACACATCTTAGAATTTATTTATAAATGCATTATTTTATTAATTAATTATAACCTAAAGTGCTAAACAAAGGTTACTGTATAGTGCCTTATATATAGGCTTAATTAAGAACATTACTTGTTTAAGTTTAAGTTGCCCTTAGCATGCTTATATAATAGTAGTGTAAAGTAGTATCTTACTTTAGAATTATAGACTAAAAGCTTTTTATATAAAAGTAAGTTTATTAATTATAGCTTTAAAAGCTTTATATAAAGTTTTTATAAAGTTCTTTTACTTACTTTATATAAAGCTTATTATTGTCTAATCTGTTTAATACTAGTTATAGTTTATGTTAGTATTAAAGTAATTACTAAGCTGCTTGTACAGTAACTTCTATAATTATTCTAGACTAATATTATAAAAGTAGAACATGTGTGCGCGCCTTTTAAGGATATTAGGAAAGATGCTTGCGTATAATACCTTAAAAATAGTAAGGTGTTAGCAGAGCTTAATAAATACTATAGCCTTATTAGCTAGAATATTATATAGTTGCTCTATGTAGTTGTTCTTTTTCTTTTATGCCTTTTAAAATTATATAACCTTCTTAGGCGCAAGGTTCTCTGCTATAATATTTTATGTAGGTAAAAGTTAGTATAAATTGTATAGTAATTAAATTATATGCAGTAGGTACAAGCTTTAGAGAATCTTATGTGGAGCTGTGGCTACAGGAATATGTAGCTGCCTAGTTGTGCTCTTATACAGTAAGCTATTGCAAGGTAGTTATACTAATTACAAAGAAAGTATTAAGTCTGTAGGTAATTTATATAAAGATATCCTCTATTATATTAAAACTAGCAGTAGTAGTAATAGTTTTATATAATGCTTTAGTAAGATAGTAAATATGTGTTCTTCTTTTATAAGTTTATATAGTATAGTAGCCTTTATTATATCCTTTTTAAAGCTAATGCTTTTATTCTGCAAAGTAGTAATTAGTTTTTATAAAAATAGTTAGCTAAGATTTTTAAAGTGTATAAACTCTTACTTTATAAAGTTATTTTAAAAGTTCTTAAGCGTACATACATCTATTACGCTTAACGTGCAGAGTTCTATAATTAAGTTAGCTATGTATAAATTAAGCTTTTTTTTAAGTATGTTATCTAATAGTTTAATCTTATTTACTTAATTTTTAATATTTATCTACTTTACTAGGGTCTTTGCTAAGATACTTATAAAAGGTATATATTAGTTATATGTTAATATGTTATGTTAGCTAGTTATAGATAGAGCTAGTGTTGCTTATTGCTTTATAGTAGTTAATTATGCGTTGTTGCGCGCTGTCTTACTTCTTGTTGTACGCTGCCTCTAAACAGCCTTATGCAAAAAGATAAAATAGACCTTCTAGTGTTAAACAAGCACTACTATTTATATAATACCTCTAAATAGTATTATATAGACAGGTTTCTTACTCTTGCTTAGGTAACTAAATAGAGATTTATAGCTACTTATATGTAAATTAGACTCTATCTTTACTCTTGCTAATTTATAGTTAAAGTAGTAAAGAAAAAAATTCTTCTTATATATAAACTTTTAAATAGAAAGGTATAAAAAGAGCTTTCTTTTTTACAGTATTTAAACTACTAATTAGTGTTAAATAGACTCTCTACTAGCTAGCACTTAGTGTTAGTAAATGCATACAAGACAGAGAGGTTTACACAGTGTAAACATCACATAGGGGTGTTAGGTAACTAGTGTTAATTGCTTCTTGTTATTTCTATTATACAAAGGAAAGGGGTTAATATAGTCCCAAACTCTGCGCACGGATCTCTGTGCACAGGGATCCGGGCGCATCCGAGCCACGTGACTATCAACCAGGCGCCCGAATATCACTATTCGGACAGTAGTAGAGGTAGTGTTAATGTCTTAGTAGCTAAGAAAATCTAGTATTATATCTGCTAATAAATAGTCTTGCTTATAAAACTTAAGCAGATCTTTATTGCTTAGTTTTATAGCTTTATAAGGTAACATAATCTTTATTTTGTAGATTAAGTAGGTACATATATATTCTTAATCCTTATTCTCTTCTGTGTATATAAAGCCGCATGTTGCTAGCTGCGTTAGGGATGCAGCTACGCATTTCTATGTAGATAGGAACGTAGTGTGACGTGACTAAATTGTTTAGAAGGATTGCAACATGTTAGACAATAATAGTAAATTAGTTTAGCATAGGTAAGACAGTGACAGTGAAGCAGTTTAGTGTGTATACGTGTTTAATGGCGGCGGCGAGGTAGGTCGGCTCGATGGAGGTGATGCAAGTGACGATAGAGTCTCAAATATATTCGAATTTGCTCCTGCTGCCATTTTAGGCGCTCCCCCCGAATAGGGCAGGGCAGAGTCGGGGCCAGGTCGAGTCAGGGTCGAGCCAGGGTCGGAGCCGATACGGGGACCCTTCGGATGGGTTCCGGGCGACCCGAGATGGAACGAGAATCGTTACAGAGCTACTATTAGCGCAGATGTAAGCTATTATTATAATTTACTTATAATTACTATTTTATATAAGCTGCTACTTAATACTTTACTTATACTACTGTCTAGAGAAAATTAGCTTTATTTTTAATAGTACTCTAATTAAAAAGCCCTTTTTATTTATATTATAGGTATGCTGTAGTTCTATGCTATATTGCTTAATTTTTTTATGTATAAGCTTAAAATATAGCAAGTACTTAAATGCTAAGTTAGCTTTGTTACGCGCAGTGTCTATGCTAGATGTCTATTAAGATAATAAGTTAATAAAGTGCCTTTTAATAAATTAATTAACCTAGCTTTTACTAGCTTACTTACTACTTATTTTTATTATAAAATTTTAAATTATTTATCTTAAAAAAGATAAACTTTTTATATAAAGTTTATTAATATACTCTACTAGCTTTTTTTTTTACACTAGGCTAAGTAGTTGCTAATTTTTAAGTTTCTCTGCACACAGGCAGGTAACGCGTTAGTAACGCCTTAACGTACTTTACAGGCAAGTTGCTTACACACCTAAGTTGCTTACTTTTGCTAAGACCCTACTAAACTACTCTTTCTACACTAATGCATTCCCTACAACACTACTTAGATGTGCTAAAAGAATGTTAGATATAGCTTACACTTTAAGCTTTTAAATAAAACATAAAACTTTTAAAGAAATGTACTATAGCTATATATAAAGTCTTATAAAAAATAATAAATAACTATAGCGCTAAATAACCTTTATAAGCTAATTCTATAGCTAAATTATAAAAGCTAAGTAATAAAAAAAAGTAAGTAATTATTAAAACTATACTTAAGCTATGTTACGATTGTGCACGAGTAAGGTTATAGAGCTTCACGGAGGTCTAGTTTAATTACTACGTAAGGTATTATAGTAGGTACAAGACGTTGTGTAAGGAACAGAAAGGTTTAAAAGAAAATTAGTAATTAAATACTTAGCTTAGAAGTTTAAGCGCTTTAAGTATAAATTAAGCCTGTTCTAGGTTTAGTTAGTGTTAAAGTAGTTTATGCTTAAGTTTATGTCTATATTATGTTGTATTTATGTTAGACATGCACTAATAATACTCTAGTACACGTCTAATATAGTTATGTCTAGGATCTAGAGAGGATACTATAATAGTACCCCCCCCCCTTATTAGGAAGGGAATCCTTTACATTAGTAGTTCTAGCATTAAGTTGTCTTTATTAAGGTACAGGTTTAGTTTAGATAGGTATTAGGCATAGAATTAGGTTACTATAAAGTTCTCTTACAGAGCTTCTGCAGGTTCCTATAATAGTTTATTATATCTAGTCTATTTTATAAGGTATTTATAGATATGTTTTTTCTTATTAAACTAGATTTATTTAACATTTTTTATAACATATTTTAGTTTATTATTTATAATAATAAGTTTAGGTAGTAAGTTTAGCTATTTAAGTAGATAGTTAGATTTAGAGGCTGCTTAGCGCAGCAATAATATATAGAACACAGGGTGTATCTTTATGCTGTTAGGTAGGATTAATTAGTAAGTGTGTAATAAAACTATATAAGCTACTATAAAAAAGCTAAGGTTCTTCTAATTAAGTTTCTTTAATTATTAGTTTATTTAAATATTTCTAGTGTCTAGCTAGACCTTCTTGCTAGCTGCATACACAGGGGCAGAGGTTTAGAATTAGTTTACATACTCTTATTAAAAAGCTTAAGCCTATGTAAGCTTTTTATAAACATATTTAGATATATTTTAAATTTTATTAATAAGTCTATTTACATCTATTACTTATATAAATTAATAAGTTAGTTAGGGGGTATTTAAAAGTAGTTTAAATCCTATTTAAAAGTAGTATCTATAGTTTACTAAAAACAGAGATACTTGTGTTAATTTAAATGTTATGTTATTAGCTTTAAACTATGCTGTAGCTAACTATTTTACCTAGTTATCCTACTAGTAGTTTATATACGCTTATAAGACTTATTCTATTACAGTGTTTATATTTTTAGTCTAGCTATTAGTCTCTAGGTAAAAAGCTGTAGATAGATAGGGGATAATTTAGAGCTATTTATAGAGTTTGTCCTAGAAGGCTAAGACAAACTGCGTACCTCTGTCTAATATAATTATGTTAGGCAGGCTATAGTAAACTTATATGTATTAGTAGAATAACTAGGCTATATTAGAGGCAGTTATAAAGGAACATAGTATTAAGTATTAATACTTAGTTAAGTAATTAATAACTACTATAATATTTATGTACCCTTTAGATAGAAGTAGGTTTATAATAAAATTAATTAATATATCTTTCTAAGCTTATTTAAAGATTAGAAGTAGTTTAAGTAGGCTATTATACCTTTTTTAAAAAGCCTTTACTTTATAGTAAGTATAGCAACATAATATGTATTAGCGTACAGTATAGAACATGCAGGGCTAGTAGTACTCTCTCTGTAGTAGGTTAAGAGTCTTTCCTTTGCCTAGGTGTCCTTTAATAGGCAAGTTGTGTATAATTTAAAGTAGTTTAATTCTTAGTTTATTAAAATTAGAAATTATAAGTTAGTTATAGTAATACAGCTTACTATTTTAGTTTTTATAGTTAGCTAGTGTTACCTTTTTGTTACAATCCTTGCTTCGTGAAGCACTCGGGTCTGGTGATATTCCTAGATGGGGAGTAGGACGGATAGTAGGGGCCAATCCGGTAGGGTGTACAGTCCTACGTACAGGCTATTAGGCTAATGGAGGGAGAGGGAGAGTGACTGGATTGTGGTTTGCCCTATGTGCGGCAGTAGGGAGGCTAGGGTTAAACAGTCCTGTTAGACAGGGTTAGAGGTATATATAGTGTAAGATATATAGATAGTATTACAGCTCTTTAGAAAGCTAAATGCTACTTAGTTTATATAAAGAATAAACTAAACATTAAACACACCTTCTAAAGGTTGTTTAATATAGGAACTATATACATATGCAGGGGATGCTAAGGTGAGCTAGACAAGCTTACTTAAGCCTACTAAGTAGGGCTTGCTAAGCTCCTCTAGACTTGTAGGATTTACATCCTATCCTCTTATTAGACAACGCATTCTTCTATAATCTTAGGTTGTTGCGCGACTTCTGCGTCCTCTGCTTAGTCTATAAGCAAGTCCTGCTCTAACTGTACTATATTGTGGAGCATCCTGGGTGGAGTTACGCTGGTCTAACTGTAGACTGTAACACACTGCCCCTTCTTCCTAGTGGCGTCCTTGCTGCTCTGCTTACACAACTGTGTTAGTAAGGGCTTATTTATAATGTTAGTGCCCTTCTGCTAAAAAGCATTTCTAATATTTATCTTTTTTATGCTAAATAGCTTACTAGTCTTGTTTATCTTACTGTCCTTATGTTACTTATTATTTTAATCCTCTTTGCTAGACAAAGATAAGGCCTTATAGCGCTTGCTAATTTTTAGAGTTATTTTATATATTAACTTTATCCTTAGACAAGTGCATTAAGTGTGTAAAAAAAAATAGTAAATGCAACACTTTTATTTTTAACACTGCGTAGGATTGCTTAGAGAAAAAAAGAAAGTTACTTTTTTAAAAGGCAGTTACTATAAAGGCTTAGAAGCAGGATCTTAATAATAAGATGTTACATTAGGTCTAGAAGACTTTAAAGGTAAAGGCTAAAGAGTGTTCTAAATAGGATTATATCTAAAAGTTGTTAGATCTGCTAGAGGCTTATTGTGTAAAGTACTTAAAAGGGGACTTATCTTCCTTAGATAAGATAAAAGCTTTTAAAGCTAAAGTAGAAAGTTGCTTTTCTTTTTAACTATTATTAGCAGGGACTTGTCTTTAAAGGCTGCTGCTATCTAGTAATAATGTAGCTGTTCCTTTTAATATAAGTGCCTTATTACCTAGCTAGTTTCTTTTAGATAAGCTTAAAAGTACTTTTGCACTAACAGCTGCGCGTTCTGTAAATTTTTAGCTAGTTTTTATATGTTTTTACTAGTAAGCTACTTTTTTTATTTTACTAGAAATTTTTTTTAATTCTTTTAATTATTAATAATGTGTTTAACTTTGTACTCTGTTTCTTTGTCCTTTTATTCTTATGTAGATAGCAGAATCCCCTTAGACGCTTTTTCTAGTCTAGAGATGTAGAACTATAGGTGTATTTTTATATAAAAGAGAAGCTTAAGCTTATAGTTGTTTTATTAAGTTTATAGAACTTTATATAGTTTTATTCTTTTTTCTGCTAGCTTTCTAGAAGGTTAGGGTATCTTAAGATTCTTAGTGTTAAGATATATATAGTCTCTTAGGTAGATTTCTAGTTCTAGTTATTATAATTTGTTTGTATATTTCTTTATTATTTCTTTACTAGATCTAGCTTCTATAGCTAACTTTTTATGTACTTAGTGTAGGTCTGTTAACTAGTCTATTAATTCCTAAGAATCTGTAGGCTAATTTCTGTGTAATATAAAGTACAGGTTGTATTTAAAATTAGCCTTGTATAGTGTTTCTTTTGTTATAGCTAATTCTACATTGTTAATAGCTAACTATGCTATTAGAAGCCACTCTGCCTAGTTATTTTAAGTATAAGAGGTGTACTTTCTTAAATACTTTTCTATTTCTGCATTTGTTCTTTTAGTCTGCCTATCTGTTTGTAGATAGTAGGCTGTTAATAGCTTATGTGCTATGCTAAGGTGCTGCATTGCTGCTTACTAAAAGCTGCTAGTAAATAGCTTATTTTAATTAAAGATAATAATCTTAGGGCATTTATATACTAATATTATGTTTCTTTCTAATTTGTAGATAAATTTTTTAGCAGTTATTATTTTTTCTAAGGGCTAGGTATGTAGATACTTAGTAGTTTTATCTAGAGCTACTGTAATTATGTTGCACATCCTGTCTGTCCTTAGCTTCTTAGATAGGGGTAATCTTGTAATAAAATTTATTGTAATTATTGTCTATAGTAGCCTTAGTGCTTTAATTAGTTAAAGGTATCTATAGAGTTTATACCTTTATAAGTTATTTTTATTGCAGGTATTGCATTTTTTAAGCACCTCTGTGCACAGTTGCTTTACTTTTAGTATTTATTATAGTATAGCAGCCTTTAGTTTCTTCTAAAGAGTGCCTATCTTAGGATGTCTAAACATTAGGGATTTATAATATTCTTAAATTAGATTTTTTTATCTTTGCTTACTAGCTGTAAGCATGTAGAATTCTTTTATAAGTTAAGGTCTATTATAGACCTATTCTTTATTAGTTTTCTTAAAGAGTGTAAATTTCTTAGTCCCTTTTTTTTTTTT